ACGTCTTTCAATTTGGAGAAAGTAATGTGTTCCGATCACACACACAGGGCAGGAACAACGTGATCATACTCCTCATTTAGTTGAGTGAGAATATGAACAACCAGGTCTTGCTCACTAATTGGATGTTGAGCAAGTACCAGCGATTCGACAATGGTGAACATTTCATCAACATACTCTTCAACGGGGCGACCATTTTGGGGATTGGAAGCTAGCTTAGTTTTGAGAGACACAATGCGAGCTGGTGAGGAACTAGCAAAGGTGGTCGTTAAACGGTCCCATGCAGCTGCCGAGGATACTGCCGATGAGATCAACGGTTGAATTGTAACACCCCAGATTTTCAAGACATTTTAAGCTTATATAATAAAGGTGATATCTCATTACATCCCAAAGTATATCATAAGTGTACGGGGTGCTATGCCACACCTGGGCTAGAGAACCAGGTGCACAGGCTGTCTAACTAATATCGATTGAAACACAATGCATAATATGGCACGCAGGCCGAAAGGGAAACTACTCTACTTCTACGCTCCAGTTCTAGCGCGCTCCAGTGCTCTAGTCCTCTGTACCTGAAAGCCAAATATATCTGTTCAGCCAGAGATGCTGGTAACCCACTCCAACGCGTTGAAATACAATACATATAGAGATATATATAGATATACGAAAACCATTTTGAGCATGAAGATATATCCTACGAACTCTAGCTTTTAAAACCGGGAATGACTCGACAGATAAGGTCAGACACAAGCAACAGTTATAACGAGCATATGCAGTTCACAACAGACAAGGCAGATAAGGCAAAGCATAAACAATGATCATAACCCAACATGAACAATCCCCAATATAAACCCCATAGTCACATCCCCCAAGACACTCGTAATCACAACTCGTCCATGTCACAACACATAACACACTTTGTTGGCGCCACAGGACCAATCGCATGCCCATACATGAGGGTCAGCGCATATAGCTCTGACACGGCCCCGCAGCACCCTGCCCCGTATCGCAACACGGAGGGGTCGATCGCAACCGACCGATGAACCGCAGCTCATCATAGTGTTTGATCGCAACCAAACAGTGGACCGCAGCCCAAGAGAATGTCATCTGACCGCAGCCAGGAAAAAGGACGAACCGCAGCTCGTATAGAAACGTTTGATCGCAACCAAACGGTGGACCGCAGCCCAAGAGTATCAATCTGACCGCAGCCAGCTTCTGAACCGCAGCTCAGGATAACCAATCCGATCGCAACCGAATTGGGGTAACACACACATAACACATAGCAAGCACATGCAACCCACATTACACATTAGGAAGGGGGAGAAAACGTATAACAAAGCCTATGCGTGATCCATCACTTACTAAGAATAGTCCTAAGGGGTTCATACTTCTTCCACCTAGGTCAACGGGATACCAATTCAACTAGCATGCAATATAATAGACTCATAAACCTACGAACGGTACCCGAAACATCAAACTAGACATAGGCACGATAAACGGAGTCCGTTGGGACACCACGGGGAACGGGGAACATCAAACGGGGAAGCCGGGATCCCGGGTGGGATGAATTCCCAGCGGGTAGCCGGTGGGTGGGGGGCCACCCGCCGGCTGCCCGCCGGTTTTACTGTTCCGGGCAGCGGGTCGCCGGCGGGCAGCTGCCCGCCCGCCGGCCACCCGCTGCCAGGCGGTGATTCTCGGCACCGGGTAGGTGGCGGGTCCCCTACCCCCCACTGACTCTTTTTCATCAATTGCGCCCCGGGAACCGTTGTGGAACCCGAAACCATGCTTAGACGCTTTACAACGCAATTAACGACAACACGTAGACAATTAACGGATCAATTACGAGAAACGAACGACACATAACCTATCATACTTTTCTAAATATAATCAACACCCAAACATGCGATTTCCCCACCCGATAATCCAAGAATAAGATCATACGATACAACCTAGGGTTCTAATCACTTTTATATCAACAAGAATACGGTTCGTCTTCTAATTGCAAGATTCGGTAAGAATAACACATAAACATCAAGAGCATCACATAATTATCAAGAACAACGCATAATCATCAAGAACTCCATATAATTACCAAGAACACTATAATTATCAAGAATCTCCCAATATCAAGATTATCAAGATCCCCCATGGGATCATCACATCAATTACCAATAATAATCATCATAACTTGCCAATACACAATAATATGGGGAAACCCTAAGGGGGAATTATAACTATGAAAATAGGTTTTGTTGAGACATGGGTTACCCCTTAGCCTTAATTAATTCCTTGGCTATGAAGGATCTTTCTTTAAGCTTCCTTGCTTTCTTGATTTCTCCTAAGGGGATTCTTGGAGCTCTTTTGGGGTGGTGGGGCGTTATTTTTTGTGGGAAGTTCTAGGTGCCTCCTAAGTCCCCTATTTATATATTTAGGAGTCCTAATTAGGAACTAATATTATAGGCTCGCTAATTCTATTCCTTTTGGAACTAAGGATTGGGTTTAGGGGTTGGGTTTATATATGAGGGCCCAAGGACTATGGTGGGCCTTTTTCCCTAATTAATCATTATGATTCATTCTTTCTCTTGGGCTATTGATTAATTAATTAAATGGTTTTAGGGTCCGTAACACGGTGTGTTACATGAATCGTGTCGGAACAGCTCCCTAAAATAACATTTAGGATCGTTTGATCTTCTCTAAACCAAGTGGTGTAAGCAGGGTTGATTTCTTTCCGAGCAGCGTCAGAGAACTGAGTAGGGGCCTAGGTTGTGCCATCAATATAGCCAAGTAACTCCAAGCCAATGAGAGAAGCTTGAATTTGTCTTTTCCAAACTTGGAAGTTGGAGGATGTTAACTGAATAGGAAAATTAGTGGGAGCATTGAGTTGGATGACATGAGTGTCTGAGGAAGAAGCCATGGGAATAGAAGAGAGAAAAAAAATGATAATTTATTCTCGCTAGAGTATGGCTCTGGATACCATATGGAGATAGTGTTAGTGTTTTATTTTTTGAGGAAAACCCCAACATATAATTGACAATATTATTATGGCAAATTAAGATAGGGTTTAGCTTGGTGTCTGACCGTCTTTGAAGACTCAAGAAGACTGATGGATCAGTACAAACATCAGAAGCATCTCTGGGTCAAGCCGTTAAAGTTCTGTTTAAGGAAAGTTACTATAAGCTGAGACGCGTTTTTTTTTTTTTTAGAATATTCTAGAAAGAATATCAGCGGATCATGTCCTTAGGTATGGATGAAATCTCCTTAAAGATTCAAGATTATTCTTCTACAAGTCATACATTTTACAACCAGAGTTATATATGGAGAGAGGCCAAGTCAAGAAGAATATATACACATATACTTTCAGAAGTTAGGGTTGCATTGATTGAAGCTGCAGCTCATATTCTAAATGATACACATCTCTGGTTTTATGTCTCTTCTCAAGACCTAAAGTTCATGATGCTTACGAAGATGAACTTGAGAAGAATCAACACTGCTTAACCTGTGGACGTGAAGATCACTCAGTTGTGGAAACAACATAGGACTGCGTCAGTGAAGCGGACTACATCAGAGTTAGCTCTCCATTGAAGAGATATTTCATTGGATTTCTGAATGCATGGCTCTCCGACTTCAAGAATCCACTAAACCTTTGTAGACTGGGTACATACCTTGTGTGAGGCACTTGGGTGAGATCATTTCTCTCTACCTTTGTACACTGGATTCTGAGTTAATGGATTGGACGCATTGGTGATCGTCTCCCAGATGTAGATACACACTGTATCGAACTGGGTAAACAAACATATGTGTTGATTTACTTTTTGCTTTGATCTTCCATTTTATGCTATATCTGTATATCTATCTGAATGATTGTCTGATCATAAGTCTGATTCAATCAGTTCTCTATCCAATTGGCAAAAAAGTAAATCGAATATCTTAGATTAAGAGAATATGTTAAATTACAAATAGAATAAACTATGCATTTCACCAAAAGACAGAAGCTTAAATAGCCAAAAAAATATAACAGAACCACCTAAGTCTATGAGCTGTTAACAGACTTATTTTAATTGTACAAATTAGGAGGAACGACGAACGAGTCTTATAAAGTAATCATATTATGCCTTCTTATTCGGTACTGTCATTTTACGTGAAACGAGGCAAGGTTGATTTTTGATAACTTTTCAGAAATTTACACCCCAATTTTCAAACACTTTTTCCGATCAGAACAAAAATTTAACTTTGAAAATTTTGCAACCGAAAGTAATTATGCTTTAATGGCTACTTAACCATGAAGAACAGAATAAAGCGGCAGAAAATAAATAAATAAATAAATAACCGGCAGAAGGAATAATAGAATCCAACAATAACCAGCACAACTCTTTCTGGAAGCCATTATCATAGCTTCAAGATTCCATCTTTTTATCCGATATGTATACTGTTTTCTTTTTTTTTTTTAGTGAATAAGGATATTTGATGTCAAGTTTAGAGTTCCAATCAAAATACATCCACAATCGCTACTTATAAATATGTTTTGGATGAAGTCTAACTTGTGATCTTAATCGATGAAAAATCACTAAGAGATAATAATTTTCAAATTATGTGTCTACAATTGACATATTTTGCATCTGCAACTGCACATTTTATGTTCTGCTGCAAGTACAACATATTATGTTTTGTGATTACAATGCACATAAATGGTTAACTACAAGTACAAAATATAACCTTCCATGTAAGAGTTCAACTTGGTACCATTGAATCCCAAGGTCCTTGGTAGAATTTTCATATTTTTATATGAGTTATTAAAATTTAGGTAAAACACTCGCAGTCTAAGATGGTAACTTGTACCCATTGGATTCATGTAAGCATTAAAAGGTTACATGTATAACAATGAGTGAAAACTTATCACTTTTTGAAGGGAAATTTGAAAAGATATCATATTTTATTTCTTTTTCTAAAAATCTAATCTTGTCCAAAAAAAAAAAAAGGTATATATGCTTACAAAATATGAGGGATGAATTCGAATTTATGCCCTTCCATCATCCATCAATAATTCTAGCTAGCCTGAAAAACCACTGAAGAAGCTAAGTAAAGAACATGAACTGTTTTAGGCCTAAGACACCCAAAACCCCCCAAATGCCTCAGGTACCAATAACCCAACAAGAAAGCAGCAGCCGGGCTGTAACGCATGAACTTCTCCTGAGCATCCCGGGATCCAAGGTCCATCTCGTGGACGCCGGCGAAGCCATAGAGCTAGCCAGCGGCGTCTTCACGGTATGGCGAATAGCGGAAGACGGCGTGTCGGTGGCCACCACCGTGAAAGTGGGCGACGATGTGCAGTGGCCGCTGACGAGAGACGAGCCGGTGGTTAAGCTCGCTGCTCTCAACTACCTGTTCACCATTCCGGTGGTGAGAGACGGCAACAGTTTGAGCTATGGGGTGACGTTCTCGTCGGAGGGGGAGTACTTGAGGTCTCTGGATTCGTTCCTGAAAGAACACTGCCTGTTTTCGAGCTCGAAGACGGATAGGAAGAAAGGTAGTAGTGTTGAGTGGAAAGAATTCGCGCCCAGGGTTGATGACTACAACAATTTTTTGGCGAAGGCTATCGCGGGCGGAACGGGTCAGATTGTCAAGGGGATTTTCATATGTAGCAATGCTTATGCTAATCAGGTATTAATTCTCTCATCTCTGATCTTCTGCATGTGTTACCCCAATGTGTTCTTAAATTATTAAGTACACTAGTTTTTCTGTTCAATATCTTGAATTGTTTCATTCTGTAAATCTCCTGTTTAGTTGGAAGGAGAGAATAATTAGAAAAAATAACATAATTTATAACGGTAGGGTTATATAGTACAATCTTTATAATATAATGTATAAAATAAGTAATGAAGAAAATAAACCTATATGAAGAGTATAACTTTCATTTACAGTTGTTAGTTTTTAGAGATATAAGATAGGAAGGGAAAGATAGAGACAGCTATCAGCTGCCTTTGCCTTCACCTTTCCTTTTCATCGTTAGTCCGCTACACTATAATTTGCCAACCTTGATAAAGGTAGATCTTGTATTTAAGATTAGGGGTGGGTATTTTGGAATTTGGTTGGATTTTTTCAATTTCGGTATTTCAGTATTAAAAAAATGATACCATTCAATTTAACATTATAATTCGGTTCGTTTTGAAAAAGTTCGGTTTCGATTCGGAATTGGTTTGATTCGATAATCGGTTCAGTTTAAGAACCCCAAATTTTAATATATATTTCCTAATTTTACCAACACACAGCAAACAATACATATTCACATAATCCAAATCCAAAGTCTAAACATTATATAACAAAATAGCAATCAAAAGTTCAAACACACTACTAAGTACTAATTAAGTACTAATTACCAAACATCAGTTGGCTTTTATGCACAACCAACTCTTCGATCGGTCGTCCCACTTGGAATATTTTAATGACAAGATGAATAATCATATATCTGTATAGTTAATATTTGGAGAACAAGTGTCAAGTACTATATAGTTAATTTTTGGACACAATCCGTCATTGCTAGAGCACTAGAATATTATTTTTCAGGAAAATATATTCCAGTACTAGAAAATAATTCTAGTGCACTAGAAATCAAAATTATAATGATGTTAATGCACATTAATTTCATAGAAAGATGAAACTAAGGAAAATACTGGATATTGTAAGAATAACTCAAGTTAGATATAATTGTGATGTAAAGAACAATTGCGGCAAATAATAAAAGTGCGAAGTAGAGAACAAGCCATAAAGAAACCAAATAAAAAATTTAAGTTAGATACTAATGAGAATAAGAACTTAACGGTGGGGCCGGCATCGACAGACTTGGATTTACATTTACTTTTTATTATTATTATTATTGTTGTTGTTGTTGCCCACCACTATTTAAGATATTCATTAAGAAAGGTAGTAATAGTACGTGATGTCATCAAATTAAACTATAAATCACTACTACTTTAAAGATCAATTTTTCACTCTACTTTCTATTTCTTAAAACCAATCTATTGCTAAACGTAGTTATGCTCATGAAAGAAGTCTCTTAACGAACTTGTTTGATATTATTTTTATAAACTGTTACGTTCTAAGTATCGTATCAAAATTATTTAAGAAAAAGAACATTTTTTTAATTGCCTACGTACACTTGAATGTTTGTACTAGACACAATGTGTGTATGTACGCTTTTGTTTGGGGAACTATGGGATCATCATTATCAAGTTGATACAAAAGGAAACATGTGTATTTATTTATTAAAGTACATATTGTGATTGCTTTTGATATAATTAAATACTCATTTGTTGTTTAGAGTGTGTTTGGAAACTAGGAAAATGAATTTTGAAAAATGAGTTATTTTTAAGAAAATATATTCCTTTTCAATGTTTGGTTAATTTCTAGAAAATTGTCTTGGTATATTTTGTTCATTTAATGAGTAGAATTGTATAATTAAACATTTTAATTATTTTATTTAGAATATGAAAATATTTATAATAATATTAAAAATAATATTATTAATTAAAAATTGAAAAAAAAAAAAAAAAAAAAAAAAAAAAAACCTCTTGTTTCCGACAGAAATCAGAGCTGTTCTGGTTGCCGCTGTGGAAACCAGAGCCGTGATTTCTGGCCAAAACCAAACCTATGGTTTCCGCCGGAAATAATTGTTGTCAACCTATGAAAATGACTTTCGCCAAATTTTGACGGAAGTCATTTTTCTCAAAAATAACCTCATTTTCTCAAGTCAACGGAAAATGATTTCTGTGGACTTGATTTTTCAGACACATACATCTAAACATTGGAAACTTAAAAAATGATTTCTGTTGACTTGATTTTCCAGACACATCCAAACTTTAGAAACTCAAAAGATTTTCAAAAATAATTTTCCTTATTTCCAAACACACCCTTCAATAAAATCAAGAAATAATATGGAATAATTAAATATGTAATACTAAAATTATTTGCACGTAGAATTAACAGGACAGAGGGTGAACATTTTATTAAATTTTAACAAAGGAGTAATTTGTTCAAATGAATTGCAATAATAAATTATGTGCACAGTATATACTTATGAATATTTGTTATGAATTACTTTTTATTTTAAAGGATGAATTACTTATTTAGTTGAACAAAAATAAAATAGGTATATAAAGGAGGAGAAACAATTTTGAGTCCAGCTGGACAGGAGAAAAGTTGTGTCAATGCAATTGAAAGGAAAAGCAGTGTGAACGGTGCTGCCAAGAAAAGTGCCGTCAACAATTCTCTGAAACGGTATCTTAATTATAACTAATCATTTTTATAATATTTTTTTTAAAAAAAAAAACATTTTATTTTTATTTAACAATGAAATTTAAATTCTTACATTATATTTTCCCACAAAATTACAATTCATTTCTCTTCTAATACCATCCTTCAAACTAAACGCCTGGTAACTTTTTAAATTATAAAATATGCAATAAAGAAAAAGTGGTTTTACTCTTCTAATTATTTGTATCTTGTTATTTTGGTCTCTAGATTTCTAATCAGGTGAAAACTAACATTAACTTGTAAACTGCGAACTTGTGAAGGATTGTATTGCAACTACTATATAATTGCACTACTACAACTTCCAGGCATGCCTGAAGGGTCTTGCAGTGCAATCGTATCTGAGTGTAGTGCAATTATGTAATAAGTACGATGTAATTCTTCACAAGTTCGTAATTCGCAGATTAAGATTCATTACACCTAATTAGGTACCTTTGTCTCTAATTGTCAAATGATGCAAATAATATTACTATCTGTTTTTATGTTTCTTTTCCAATTTTATTTTTTTTTTACGTATGTGGTATGTTAAAATATTTATTTTTAATACTTTAAAAAAATTTTACTCATCATAAGTTTAAAACAGTTTCAATTTTCGAACTTTCTCTCACATACATACCAATATGTAAGAAGGTAAAATCACACCAACTTATGTTTGGTGATATATTGTTAGATTTTTCTTATTTTCTTATATTAGTGCCATCAAATTAATTACTAGGTGTCTGAAATTTTCAACACTAGCTAGACATAAGAAATTTGATTTTGAAATGCAAAGTCTTCTTATTATGTAGCCTAATATGCAGAAATCGTTCTTTCAACATAAGTGTTTTTTTTTTTTTTTAACACACTTTGATATGTCACAAAAATTGAATTTTTTGGTAGTGACAATTAAATAAAAGTTTGTAACACGTCAAAATGCTAAAAGAACTATAAAGGCCCGTTTGATTCGTGGAAAATATTTGAGAAGAAATGGAATTGAAATTTCATGTAAAATAAATTACCAAGAAGATGGGTTCCATTGTTTGGTTGGTAGAATAAAAAAAGAAATGGCAGAGAATATATATATATATATATATATATATATATATATATGTATATGTATATATATATATATATATATATATATATATATATATATATATATAGATTGTTTGGTTGTGTTTAAAAAGGTAATGAATAATCCAACATAGTAGTTTAAATGGCAAATGAGCTCTATTCGTGTGTGAGAATTTCAAGATAACCAGAGTTTTTCCTTTGGGCCATTTACACCAAAATAAAAAAATAAAAATAAAAAAAGGTAATAAATAATAATCGAATATAAAGATAATCAATATACCTCTAAAAAGATGAATTAATAACTTGAACTTTGCTATTTATACCCTAGTCTGGTCATGTTAATCTTTTTCCCAAGCCCTCTGGAAAACAAAAAACCACTCCTTTGCTTAGAATTTATTTTTCTCAACTTTGAGAAATGAATTCCATGAACCAAACAACATAAAACTACATTTTCCTCAACTCTTAGGAAAATACCAAACACGGTGGAGTCAAGACCGCACATGCTTAGCTTAATGGTTCAATAGATAGTATTTGAGAGAAAAGACCAAAGTTTGAATCTCGGCGACGGCAGTAAGGGACTTCTGCTCAAAGTGGATTGTTCCCTTGTGCGCACCTTGTCATTGGGTCACCGTAATTTACATCCTTCCAAATGATGTTCTATTGGGTCAGGGTTTGGGGGTCCTTGGAGTTGGGGATCCGGGAGAAGAAGAAGGATGTGGAGACAAAAGAAAATGTGATTTGTGTGTGTGGTAATTAAAGTCAAATTAGAGCAGTAGAAGTTTGAATATTTTTTGTTGAATTGTGCAGTGCAAGGAAGCTGTCCCAAATGACAGAAAAGATGAGCAAAGCTATGCTTGATGGTGTAGGGGTAGCCACTGGATCAATCATGGGTCCCATGGTTAGGTCCCAAGCTGGAAAGAAGTTTTTGTCTATGGTTCCAGGAGAGGTCCTCTTAGCCTCACTTGATGCTGTTAGTAAGTAATTAATCAATGTATCTTATACTTTTACTGGAATTTTATTGTGCCATCATAATAAAATAACCACTCTCAGTATAGTTTGTTTGGTCAATGACATAGAAAAATATACAACAATTCTAATTAAACAATATGTTTTTTAAAAAATTATTTTTTAGTTTTTAAGTTATATTGGTAAGTGTAATTTTAGTCTTCAATTGGCATGTATTCAGTTATTATACAAATGTTATACTTAATTAATCATTAAAGTAATTATTTTCATTCGCTAGCTAGGGTTGAAAATAATCATTTTGGTAATTAATTAATGGATACATTTGTAATGACATGTCAATTAGATACACTTGTCTTATAACACAGGTTAGAAGAATAGAAGTGTTCGTTTTTTGGGTGAAAGCCAGAACTAATTTTTTAAGACATAAATAAATACTAATGTTATGCCCCACAAATTATATCGGGTTCAATTTAGGGTTTGTTTGAAAAGTATTAAAATAATATCTGAAAAATGAGTCATTTTTCAGAAAATATTTTTTTTTCTGTGTTTTGTTGCACAGTAGAAAATTATTTTTGTATGTTTAGTTCATTTTCAGAAAAATGAGTAGAATTATATAATTAAACATTGTAAATATTTTATTTAAAATATAAAAATATTTATAATAACATTAAAAATAATATTATTTATTATTTTAAAAAAAACTGCTTTTCACCGAAAACCTTGTTCTGAGTGTTGCAGAAAATGACTTCCGCCAAAATGACTAGATTTTCCCCAGTCAATGAAAATTGTTTTCCGTTGACTGAATTTTTCAATTGCATCCAAACACAGGAAATTCGGAAAATGATTTCCCGAGTTTCCAAACACAATCTTAAGGAGTTTGGTAATTCTTGAAAATTTGTGATCCTTTAATCTAAGTTAGTTAAGGTGAAAGTAACTATTATATATTGTAATGTTGGACATGTTTAAATTGATTACTCTTCATCAAAACTAATATAATTACGTTAGATATTCATTTTATACCAATTCTTTAAATTAATTTTTCATTTATTAAATTATACAAAAAGTCTTACTTGTTTCAATTTGGAATTGTAGACAAGGTTTTGGATGCAGCTGAAGCTGCTGAGAGACAGGCATTTTCTGCTACTTCTGGTGCTGTGACTAAAATGGTGTCTCAAAGGTATTATTGCTACTTTTACATGCACTTATTTTGCATAGGAGTAACTTGAAATTTAGTAAATTTATTTCTCAATCAACCTCTTGAATATAATTAACTATAAGTCAAATTGAGTATTTGCATATTCATGATAAATCAATTATTAGTAAAGAATTAATGAATCAGTTATTTATGTATTATAACTTTACTCGCCATTTTTTTAATATTTTATTATTGTGAAATGCATATTAGTTGTTCTGTCTCATTTTACGTGTGTTGTTTACTATCATGGGTTAAACTAACTCAATTTTTAATGTAATTTTTAAATATATAAATTTTATATGTAAATATTTTAATACTAAACTTAATGTTAAATTGAATTCAAAATAACGAAATTCAGTCAAGTCTCGTTAACTGAACCAGATGTGTTAATGCTCAATTTAGTCCTCGGCTATAGTGCTTATTTATTTATTTATTTATTTAACCCTAGACAATTTTTTGTGCTTAAATAGGTCCTTGACTTCGATGATTTTACCTAATTGAGTCCTCGGCTGTTAGAATCAAGGATTAAATCGATAAAAGCCATTATAGTCGATGACTAAATTAAGTAAAACTATTAGAGTTGAAGACTAACTTGTGTAAAACTACTATAGTTGACTGAATTGAGTAATAGAGGTGAAATTACCAAACTATCTTCACAAAGGACTCAAATGGATAAAATTATCAAAGTTGATGGGTGATCTAGCTAATTAAGCACAAAAAGTCATTTAAAACTAAATCGATAAAAATCATTATAGTTGATGACTAAATTTGGTACTAATTTAAATCAGACACAAAAAATGGGACTAAATGATTAGTAAAGAAAATCACTTTTTTTTTACCTAATTAATTAACTCGTCAGACTATTTATGAAATGTATAATATATGGTGTGTTGGTGATAGGTTTGGGGAGAACGCAGGGGAAGCAACACAAGATGCACTTGCAACTGCAGGCCACACTGTAGGCACCGCTTGGAATGTCTTCAAAATACGAAAAGCCATCACCCCTGGTTCATCTGTCACTTCTGGAGTGCGAAATGCTGCAAAAAATAGTAGAAGATAAACAACAAAATTAAACCACTAAACCTTAACCTTTTAAAACATCGAAAAACTATGGTTTGTGTTGGTTATTGTATGGTTTATTCATTCTACCTCTATTATGAATGATACCTTTTTTTTTTTTTAAAGAATGTTTGATTCACTAACATCTCAAGAGCAAGGGGACATTGGTAATTAGTGTAGGAATAAGGGTCAAATAGGCCACTCAATTACACATCAACGTACAATTAGATCATCGAACTCAAAAAAGATACAATTAGGTTCCTGAACAAGACAAAATCATGCAATTAGGTCCAAACTTATTTTTAAAATCGGTAACCGTCATTTTAGATAAACAGGTCATTTTGGACCTAATTGCATGATTTTGTGTTGTTCAGAGACCCAATTGCATCTTTTTTGAATTTGATGGCCTAATTGCACTTTGGTGTGCAGTTCGGTGACCTATTTGACCCTTATTGCATTAGAGTATTTTATATGTTACTACCACAATCATAATTATAAGTTGAAAAAAAAAAGATTAATACGATGAGAATATAATTGTGTTGTATTGATTGATCAATCTGAGAGTACAGAGAGCGAATATATAGATACTAGATAGAATCCTAGTCTAACACGAATAAGGTAGTCCCAGTCTAATGAGTTAATTCTAGCAATGGTCCTCTGACTATACTGATTTTTCAAAATTAGTCATCGACTTTTAATTTGGACACTTTAGGTCCCTTGACTTTCAATTTCTTTCCAATTGAGACCCTTTCGTCAGAATACGATTAATTAGACTTTAAATGAAGGGGTAAACTCGTCCTTTCACCTGCCTATGTATTATTCTTCGTATTTCTCCCTTCGTATTTCGTTGTTATACCTTGTAAACATCTTAATAATGGAGAAACGCACGCATGAGCAGTCAATAAATGGGGAACGGCGAGGAACATTCTAGGACTTCGACTGAGATTATCTTCATATATATCGCTTATACAAGGGAGAAATATGAAGAATAATACATAGGCAGGTGAAAGGACGAGTTTACCCCTTCATTTCAAGTTCAATTAATTGTATTCTAGCGAAATGACCTCAATTGGAAAGAAATTGAAAGTCAAGGGACCTAAAGTGTCCAAATTAAAAGTCGAGGTCTAATTTTGGAAAATCAATATAGTCAGAGGACCATTACTGGAATTAACTCCAGTCTAATACTAATAATATAGTCCTAATACTCCTCCTCAAGCACAAGCTAGGTTGGCTAGCCAAAACATTGAGCTTGCGACGGAGTAAATTAAAATGTAAGGACGAAAGAGGTTTAGTAAAAATGTCTGCTATCTGATCTTTGGTAGAAATAAAATGAACTTGCAACTCCTTCTTTGCTACTTTGTCACAAACAAAGTGATAGTCGATCTCAATGTGCTTCGTGCGAGCATGAAACACCGGATTAGCACATAAATAAGTGGCTCCAAGGTTGTCACACTAGAGCTTAGGCGCAGAAGATGGTGCAAAATCAATTTCCTTCATCAGAGAAACAAGCCAAGTAACTTCTGCAGAAACATCAGCCAGCCCTTTGTACTCAGCTTCAGTTGAGGAACGAGCCACAGTGCGCTGTTTTCGACATACACATGAAACAAGATTGCTCGCCAGAAACACAGCGAAACCACTAGTTGACTTTCGGTCATCCGGATTGCCGGCCCAATCCGAATCAGAATATGCATGAATATCCAGAGAGGTAGAAGAGGAAATATTGAGACCAAGATTGAGTATCCCATTCACATACCGTAAAACTCTCTTCAGAGCCGCCCAGTCCGCCGTAGTAGGAGAGTGCATGTGCCGACACAAACGATTAACAGAATAAGAGAGATCAGGACAGGTTACCGTAAGATATTGCAGAGCACCTGCAAGGCTGCGGTACTGAGTGGGGTCAGCATATGGAACCTCATCACCTGTCACGGCTTTTGTGGTGGAAACTGGCGTGGCACCGGGCTTGCAATCCACCATACCTGCTCGCTTGAGAATATCCTTCATATACCGTTGCTGAGACAGAAGCATGCCTCCAGACACCGGAACAGTCTCAATACCCAAAAAAAAAAAAGGCATACCCATATCACGGATTTTAAATTCAAGAGCCAATTTGTCAATAAGAGCAGCCACATGAGTTGAATCAAAACCCATAACCAAGAGGTCATCCACATAAACCAAAAAATAAATTAAAATTGAATATTTCCACGTGAGTAAATAAACAAAGAGACATCGGTTTTGGAAGGCGAGAAGCCCACAGAAACCAGAAAATCATGCAAACGTGTGAACCATGCACGAGGGGCTTGTTTGAGACCATACAGAGAACGTTGAGTAGACAGTAGACACACATGCCCAGGCATAGATTTGTCCTCATAGCCAGGCGGCTAGCGCATATAAACTGTCTCAGCCAAGTTGTCATTCAAAAAAGCATTGTGGATATCCAACTGTCGAATAGTCCATCCACGAGAAACTGCTAAAGATAAGAGAAGACGTATCGTAGTCGGTTTAACCACGGGACTGAAAGTCTCAAAGAAGTCCTCACCAGACACCTGATTAAAACCCTTGGCAACTAATCGAGCCTTGTGACGCTCAATTGAACCATCAGCTTTCCTTTTGGTTCTAAACACCCACTTGCAACCAACCACATTCATACCTGATTTATAAGGAACAAGTTGCCATGTATTGTTATGTACCAGGGCATTAAATTCCAAGTCCATTGCATCACGCCACTCAGAATATTTGACCGCTTGAGAGTAGCACGTGGGCTAAATAGTAACATCAGCAGACAGTGTGACATGATCATGTGGCCCCGTGCTCCGTGTAGCCATACCGTGAGACCGAGCACGAGTTGGTGAAACGGGATAACGAGACCGACCGCGCGGACGCCCACGCGGTCGAGCAGTCGACTGGTCCGTGACAGTCCGCTCGGACTCGGCCACGGTCTCGGGACTGGGCTGGCTGGGCACGGCAGCAGGTGCAGTTAGCGGTTCAGCAAGCGGCTTGGCACTGTGGTCATGCGACCGGACCGCATCATCATTGGCAAAAATAGGTACAAGACCCACGGTTCCGGGATCGATGTGACAACCTGCGAATCAACACGAGCAACAAACGGAAAAACAGTCTCATCGAATCGCACATGGCGACAGATATAAACCTTGTTAGTGTTAGTGTCCAAACAACGATAGCCACGAAAAGACGGAGGATATCCAAGAAAGACACAAGGAGAAGAACGAAATTGTAGTTTGTTGCGGTTATATGGACGCAAGCTGGGGAAGCATAGACACCCAAATACCCGGAGATAGGAATAGGACGGAGGGGAACGATGTAATAGATAATGTGGAGATTTATCAGACAAGACACAAGTGGGCATTTTATTAATCAGGTACACAGCGGTTTCAAACGCATAATCCCAGAAACGAGACGGGACAGATGTCTGGGCCATTAAGGCAAGACCTGTCTCAACCACATGCCGATGCTTGCGCTCCACCCTCCCGTTTTGCTCATGAGTATACACACAGGATTGCATGTGACGAATACCAAGAAATGCCAAAGTGGAGCCAAGCTTTTTATACTCTCCCCCTAAATCAGATTGAAAAGAAAGAATTTTGCGGGAAAAGGATCTTTCAACAAGTGACCGAAACTTATCAAATATGGTATATAACTCAGATTTAGCACGCATGGGATAATACCACATATATCTAGTGTAATCATCCACCAACAAAACAAAATATTTAAAACCATTCGCAGAGATTAATGGCGCAGGGCCCCAATGGAGCAAGGCCCCAAATATCATAATATATTAATTCTAAAGGTTGCGTACTAGTGGTTACAACACGAGATAAAGGAAAGCGAGATGATTTTCGCAATTGACAAGACAAACAAATATTGGGAAGATCATTGGAATTAAAAGTACTAAGAGACGAAGACCCTAAAATTTGGCGCAGAACCCGGGAGTGAGGGTGCCCGAGACGCATGTGCCAAACAAAAGACGACCGTGCGTCAACAAAAGCAGCTGGAGCTGGACGCGAAGTAGGCCAGGAATAGAGACCCCCTGATGCATGCCTTTTAAACAGAATTTTCCTGGTGATAGTGTCCTTCACAAAAAAACACGAAGGGTGAAATTCAAAGAAAACATTATTATCTTTAGCAAAACGCTGAACAGATAATAACGAAGAAGATAAACCAGGGGCATGCAAGACATCACTCATCCTAAAGGACCTAGAATCAGTAGCTAACGAAGCGGAACCAACATTAACAATTGGCAAACATGTACCACTGCCGACTCGGAGTGTCTTCGGACCATCATAACCTGTCGCAGATGTCAGCAAGGAAGAATCAAGGGTGACATGATTCATAGCACCAGTGTCCGGAAACCACTGATGAGGGCCATCTGCAGAACCATCATCACCAGAAACAGCCACATGTGCCTGAGGAGCCGGGGAATCAGGCGCAAAACGCTGCCAACAGGAAATAGCAGAGTGACCTTACTTGCTACAAATCTGACATTGAGGACCCGAACCAGATTGCCCCCGGCCACGACCATGGTTCCCTAGACCACGGCCTCCTCCTCCACGCTGTTGAGAACCACCGCCCCAGCCACCGTGACCTCCACGGTTGACAGCCATAGCGGCCAGTGCACCAATAGGGACGCCATCATCGGAGCAGATCCACTCTTGCGATACTAGAAAGTCCGCTACCTCCATTAGCGGAACAGGAGCTCCACGCGCCAGGGTCGCAACCAATGTCCGAAACTCAGGGCGTAGACTACAGAAGACATATAAATTTTGGTCGTCTAACTCAACCTGACGACGACGAGAGCCAACTCATCAACCAACATCTGCGCACGGCCAAGATAGTCGGAGATAGAAGAATCACATTGCCTTAGCACTTGTAGCTCGCCGAGTAGCCGTAGGGCCCGAGACCGCCTCGATGAGCCTAGGGTTTGCTCAATGGTCTGCCATAACTGCCGTGATGTGTTTCGGCCGACAGCGAGGTGCAGAGTCTCCTCGGACAAGGACAGATAAGCATCGAAAGGATGGCATTGTCCTGTCGCCGCCAAGAAGTTTGTCGTGCCGAGAGGTCCGTAGCCTCCGCGCCGGAGCTGTCGGCAGTCTAGGTGGTCGCCGAGACAGTCGTCGGAAACAGCACGGTGCCACCAATAAAACCAAGAAGCCCTTGTCCTTCGAGGAACGGTAGCATCTGAGTTCTCCAGAATAAATAATTCCGGGAAGTTAATTTCAGGGGGACGAAGTGATTAGAGCCGTCAAAATGGGCTTAGCCCGGCGGGCTTTCCCGCCCCGCCCGCCAAAAGGGCGGGGCGGGCTGGCGGGTAGCCCGCCAGCCCGCCTTTTTTTTTTTTTTTTTTTTTTTTTTTAGTTTTTAAGTTTATATATATATATATATATATATATATATATATATATATATATATATATATATATATATATATATATGTTACTGTAAATCTGTGTATATATATATATAACTATATATTAGTTATATATATATATACACAGATTTACAGTAACACTGTAAATCTGTGTGTGTATATATATATAACTAACTAATATATATATATATATATATATATATATATATATATATATATATATATATATATATATATATATATATAATATAAATAATAGGGATAATTATACTTACCCGGTTACCCCTATTGGTGTCATTGTTGTCATGTTTTGATGAACGAATTTATGTTATTTTCTTATGAATAAGTGTTTTAAGTAGATAGCAATTAAGTTATTAACATAATCACATTAGAGTTTAGATTTTAGAGACACATCACACATGATTAAAAAAAAAAAAAAAGAAGAGGCGGGCTTTGGCGGGGCCTGTGGGCCTAAGGCGGGGCGGGGCGGGCTGCCCCTACCTAGGCCCGTATTATTGGCGGGCTTTTTAGCCCGCCCCGCCAAAAGGCGAGCCAGCCCGCTTTGACAGCTCTAGAAGTGATGTGCCGAGGAAAGACTATTACTGGCGGACACCGGAGGAACGTCGGTAACGGTCCGTTCAGAAGATCCAAGAACAGAGTCGTCATCACAGAGGGTTTCCATGAGGGAAAACCTGGATAACTAATACCAGATGAGAATATAATTGTGTTGTATTGATTCATCAATCTGAGAGTACAGGGAGCGAATATATAGATACTAGATAGAATCCTAGTCTAACACGAATAAGGTAGTCCCAGTCTAATACTAATAGTATAGTCCTAATAAATGCGTCTTATAGATAAAACTATTCTTATAATTTCAAAAGTATGTGGAGATGGTATTCGAATTTTACTTATCTTGTTTTACCTCACTTTGTTACATAACCTACATTGAATTATATCAAAAGTCGGTTCAATGTAAATACAATAAGGTTCTTCAAAAATATTGAGTGACCAAAAGAGTTAAATGTTTCAAAAATTCCAAGACATACCATGCATATACTTTTCATTCATAATCTAATAGACTAAATACCAATTTTAGTCCCACGAGTATTAGCACAATGATAGTTTTGGTCCACATGTTTAATTCCTATCAAAACTCATCCCACAACTATTATTTTACTACCAAAGTGTTGGGTAATATGGTTGAAAATCCCAAAAATAATAATAATCCTACGGAAAGATTAATATTATATGGGAAAACAGAAAATTGGGAAGGAAAAGGTTGAGTGTTTGGGTATAGGTTTAGCACGAGTTCGAACACAAAGTTCTTTTCCTTAAAACCTTATTTGCTACCTCCCACAAGTGCTAGGAGCGTTGTAGCCTAGGTTTCCCAGGATAAAACGTGCTACGATTCCTTGTTTAAGCACCTAAACAAGGAACCCGGAAAACAAAGCAAAGCTTAGAACACTGGTTGGCTAAAAGAAGAGAGTAGAAGCAGAGTTTTGAGATGAAAAGCTACTGGATTCCTTTGTTTCTCACTATGTGTAAAATGCTACTGCTCTACCTCTCTTTATATAGGAATGTTGGAAGGGATAGCATTCAACATGGCCATTAAATTGGTGTTAAAACCAATTGTGTAACACCTGTAACGGTCACCACTAAGTAGGATTAAACTCATAATTTAAAAAGTGGAATTAAAACAGTATTAATTCCGTAACAGATGAGTTTAATCTTCTGCACTTTCGAGTTTCAGACCGTTGGGGTG